GGAGAGGAGCGAGGCAGAGAGGGTACAGGCAGTGAGGAGTGGGAAAATGCATAGAGCTCACTGGAGGAGAAACCTTCACAGTCCTTAACACAGTAAGTCTTTGGCTGCAGGGCACATCCTGGAGGGATCTCCTAGAAGTGACACATCCCATGGCTGGCACAGAGGAGAAGGAGGTGCTGCAGATCAGGGCTTCCCTGCTGCCCCATCAGTGGGACAGGGCATGATGGCTGCCTTCTCCCAGGGAGGGCTGCAGGGTGTGAAGGTGGGGGTGCAGGTGGGGGTGCCCAGGGCTGTCCTTCCCAGCAGGGTCCCTGCACCCCAGGGGGCTGTGTGCCGGGGCAGGGATTCTGCCGCCTGCCAGAATCAGCACTCAGGCTGCTTAGGGAGATCCCCACAGCCCTGTGGGAAGAAGCTGTGGGATAAGGAAGCAACCACTGACCAGTCAGGTCAAGATCTTCCTGCTGTTGAGACGGTGCTGTGTGGGTCAGGTTTGCTCACAGCTCCAGACTGTCACAAGACTTTTGCAGAGGTTCCTTTTGAAAGAAATAAAAATAAAATAAATTGAGGCAACATTTAAATGAATGGGAAGGGGTCTGTGTTTTGAGTTTTCTCTTCATGGTTGACTGGGTGGGCAGTGGGAGATGCGAATTTCTTTCTCCCTTGTGGGAAAGACACAGAGACCCCAGTTCTCATTAGAACTTCTCTGAGCTGCTCCTTAGCTGCTGCAGACAAGGAGAGATGCCCCTGGGCAGTGTCCTGCTGCCAGAAAGAGTCTGGAGGGCAGAGCTGAGCACACAGTGGGTGGGATGGGGTCTGTGAGCAATTACATGGAAGAGTCATGAGTACAGAGAAACAGCTCCTGGTAGGGACAGCTCCTGGCAACAGAGACAAAGACTTGGGCAGGGAGTAAGTGGGAGCTGCTACCAGAAATGCCATGGGAGGAGGGATTTGGGCACCCCCCTACCACCCCCTCTAGTGCAGGCACCTTCCCTGGAGGAACCCCCTTTGTCCTCTCCCACCCAGGGAAGTTTATTCCCCCAAGGCCATGGGATGCAGGGCATGAGACATCCTTGGCAGCTGCGCCTCCAGCCTAAGAGAAGTGCCTGTGTCCTACTATTAACACATCATAAACCAGACAAAAGCGACTGCCCTACAGTGTCACTGTCTGCAAGGTGGAGAGCAAAGCAGGGTAAGGAGAAAGCTTCATGAACACCCATCTGCCTTTCTCGTTGCATTTTTTTGGAGCACTGCAGCTTTCTTCCCTGTTTCCCCACCTTTCCATGGTGCTCTTGCTCTCTGGGGTTGAGGTGGAGGTGCAGGTCAGCTTCTGTTCTGACACCAACCCTGAGGGTCCTGCCCTGGAGGCATCTTCATAGGAATGAGGTGCCCAAGGCGTGGGGCACCAAGTCGTTGATTTGCTAGGGTTGGGAAATTAGCTGAAAGATTCCCCATTCTGCTGAGGGAGGGGGATGGCTATGAGAAATGCCGTGGAGTCTAAGAAAGCTCCCCTAACTTATCATTGTGTTTTTCCTTCATGGACAGGTCCCCATGCACAAAGGGAAAAAATGTCCAACGGCAGCTCCATCACTGAGTTCCTCCTCCTGGCATTTGCAAACACACGGGAGCTGCAGCTCTTGCACTTCTGGCTCTTCCTGGGCATCTACCTGGCTGCCCTCCTGGGCAATGGGCTCATCATCACCGCCATAGCCG